TATTATAAATCACAGCTGTCATCTTTAACAGTCTAGAAGGTAGTGGAAACTGAACATTACATAGCAGCAACGCTAAAATATGCCAAGGGTTCATTTGGTGAAAGCTGTCACAGGCAGTGCTGTGGGCACAGATAAGGTGCTGTCCCCAGCATCTGCTGCACAAACTAGAGATCTAGTTAAAGTACAAGGAGATGATGGAGTGCATTGTTGCGGAGGCCAGGGTGGAAACAGCTGGATTCTCTGTATCATGTGGCATCTCATCTGCTGTGGTGATTTTCTCTTTCTCGAGTGTTGTGAAGGTAAACTTGCACCACTTCATCACACCACTGCTTTGGCTGTGGAGTTATTCAATACCTATGAAGCCTACCAAAAACTAAACTGGCTTGTGCATTCTGTCACAGTCTGGCTGAGGCAGACTGTATGTATTGAGAAGAGTGGATCCAAAACGCAGACACAAAAGGAATGTGGAACAAAACTTGGATTAATAAAAAGCGAGCCGTTTAACGAGGCTGGTAAAAAAGGTACAAACAAAGGGCAAGGCAAACTGAAGTAAAACTAACATTAACCTAAACTGGGAGAACTAAACAAACAACATGAAAAACCTGTAATATGAAACCTAGAAACATGGCATGGAGAACATGACGCGAACACAGACGACCAGACAAAGAATGAACAGAAACACAGAGACTAAATACACACAAGTGGAAACTCATGGGGAAACAGCTGAAACTAGTCTGACATAACGAGACAAAGGAAGCAAAGCTGTCTACATTGACATAGGACACAGACCTTCAAAATAAAACAGGAAACATAATGAAACACAGACCTGACAACATGAACTTAACAAAAGACATGCTAACATGAAACACACGAAGGGCAAGGGAGACTTAACATAGGGGTAGGAAGACACAGGGGGAATCTAATAACTAAGAACTGTAATGACAACTTAGGCATAATAGGAATGAACTTAGAAAACATAAAGGACTTAAACATAAAAATAAACTAAAACTCAAAATGCTGGGTTAGAAGATCCAGGATCGTGACACATTCAGCATGCGGAAGAAGGCTACTCCAACCCAACTGTCCTCTCCATTTCCTGATTCCCTGCTCCAACAATCAGAAATACCTGGATGTACACACGGGTGATCACACCCACAAACTACACCCTTTTTGGCTCCTACCTCAAAGCACACTGTGTTCTGTTGATCTTATGTGCTGCACA